AACAATTTGGGCTAAGAGTCGACTTGATTTGATGTATATCTTTGGCTTAGATGGAATGGTCAAATTGTTTTAGTTAATGAAATGAAAAGGCACAAATGGTTTGGGAAACGTTTAACGCGAAAAAATGCTGATAAATATTTTCTCTTCCCTGCTTGTTGCTATGTCGAGATATGTGCATATTAAGTAATTCTGAATTGTCATATTTCATGTGCCATTTCAAAATCAGCGCACTCTTGATAAGCTGTACATCATGTGTAAGCAGTGACATATAAAATCTAGGCTTGACATTATCACTTCTGGAAGCTATAAAGAAGAATAGCAAAAAATGGGCTTATTTAATCATTCATTAAGGCCTGCTGGATGCTAAGCCTCCAAACGCATCTCCTTGACTTTATGGTCGTTGGAAAATCAGGTATCAGACCTGCTAGCGTGTGAAGCCACAGAATTTGATCCTGATTGTGTTACAGGTTATAATGACTCATTTCCAAGCCTACCCATTTTCAACCATACACAAAATTGGATTTTGCTTTAGCTCAAAAACTCACTTGCTGATGGAGGGGGAAGAGAGTAGGGACGGCTCATTTTTATAGACTTGGAAGCCCCATTTGAGGTAGTGCCATGCCATTTCCGAGCCATTACTGCCCGTTAGTTGCAAAAGCAGACTGCAATGATAGATGCCAGACAAATCCATCTGGGGAGCGTACGAGTCCAGATAAATGGTTAACTGCATCCCGTCTCCGGTCACCTCCATACCCTGATCCTTCTGGCCACTTCGCAGCTCTCTATGCGCCATCGTGGCTGGAAGAATCCAAGACACTCTCATGGGTGTAGCTAACACAGTTTTATTGTCACAGGCCTACAAAAGAATGGACATGAATCAGTTTTCCAAATCAACTTGATGTAAATTTATAGTTTGGAGTTGGCGAGTCAATATTTGCTCTACAGCCTTTCTACCAGAACGATCAGAAGTCTTGAGGCATGCGTGCTGTTCTGGCAGTGCAGCTGAGTCTGGTACCAATTACCGGTTTATACGAGCAGAAGCAGGCTACGGCTTAAGAGTGTCAGCATCTGAGGGAGATGTACCTTAAAACAGAGATAGAGTACAACTAGAGAAGTTTTTTTTTGTATGTAAGTAGTGTTTTGAGGCTACCAGTAACTCAGTAATATGAGCGGTACTCACCCAATTTCGTTTGTGGTGATGAAGGTCTAGTAGAAAAAGAATTTTCCCACATTGATATGAGTAGAGCTGACGTTTA